CCCATGCTGCGTTCTCATTCTCCTAATTCTAGGGAAATTCTGTAAACCGCAGTTTACAAGAAAGCTTGTTTTTAGAAGAAAACAAAACAACCCACCCCAACACAAGGTCTTAATTTTTCTGGAATATTGCATGTGATTCTAGCCATTGCATTTTGAAGAATTAAAAGATACCTGGTGGGGGACACAAGCATTGCTGATGATATAGGGAAGAGTAAGCTTTGAGGACCAGGCAGGAAAAAAGCTTAAGAAAGATTTTAACTGAAGTACAACACTGAAAGTAACATTGTCGGGATGCCCTCCCGACAGAACCCACACACTCGCCCGGCCTGAGAGGCGAGACTCCCGGGAGCGATGTGCACACCACTCACCCAGAAGAAAACACCGGCACTGGAATCCTTTGCAGGTGTGTGTTGCTGGTGCAGCCTGAATTGGCTTTCTGAACTCGGGTAGAAAAACAAGAAGGCCCATCAGTGGGACTGCTACATTAACTTGTTGTCTGGGAAAGCCAGAGTATTGACATGCTCCCTCTGAAATGACTGGGGGTTTCAGTACGTCACAATCTCAGGAAATCCCTCCCTGACGAATGGTTTTATTACAGCTCTTGGGTAACAATACACGGGAGCAGCAATCTGCACAGAACACTGCTGACCAGCTTGGAAGGAAAGAGAGAGACCTTCCAAGATGTGGGTTGGCATCGTTAGGAACAAACTGAATGACCTTTATAAACAAACACACATTCAGTGTTTCTGCCAGAGAAACTTGATTAATATTCCTGAGTAAATATGCCATGAATTAACAAACACACTTCTCAAAACAGGGTCAGAAGCTAATACGCTTTGCATTTCTGCTTGGTGGAGGTTCCAGAGCTTTTTTATGTAAACGCAAGATATTGTTACAAGCATTCTAACAATTAATTAGAATAAATTATGTAAGGGAATGATTCAAGGAAGAGTATTAAAATTAATTAATAGTAACAGTTGCATTGGATCTTAAATCACCCATGTCATTCACCATGATATTCAAATACAAGCCCAGGATGTTTAGGTCTCATGGCTTGTTCCTAGCAAAGATGACAGGTATTTTCTTTATGCAGAATTTAAGAAACTTCTTGAATAAGGGATCAGACTGAAAACAATGCACTATTTAAGTCCCCAAAAGAGAACTTAACAGCAAACGGACTTGGTGCTAACTCTTCTGTATTAAACAAATCATAACAAAACATGTGTTAGTGAATTATGAATTACAAGGTGCCACTAAAACAAACAAGTAATGGTGCCACTGGGGAGCATGTTGTAAGCATTATGAGTAAAACTGTAACCATCACTAACAGCCATAACAACTACTAATAAACTGAAACATAATGGTAAAATAACCCATTTCATTTGCTAGGTGCTGATCGTTTAATCCAAAATGTATGCCTTTTGCACAGAATAGTATGTCTGTACCTTTATTCCAAAGTGTTATACAGTTTCCTGGGAAGCACATACTAAAATCCTCCAAAGAAAAAAAAGAAACAATTTAATAAACCAATATGCATCCAAAATCTTTAAGCTCATTTATATTTGTTTTTCATGTACAAGATCAAAGAAATAAAAAAAACAGAATCAAACCCTGGATACAACAGTTTGATCTGATTGCTTTTGATACATACAATCTGTTGCAAGGTACTCGAAATGCTCACACATGTCATATAACAAAATGGAAAAAAGTAAATAAAAAAGTTAAAGTACTAGCATGTACATGGATGTAGTATATTAGGAAACAAGTTTATCTGAACACCCATATTTTTCTGTATTTAAAATAGACATTTTAATCCTTCCCTTCCCCCAAACAGCATTTGTTCTCAAAAAGTCAAACCCACTCCCTCCCCAAGTTACATTCTAACAGTATTACCAGAATACAAACTGTAATTAACAAAGTCCCATTACTTCTGTATCACCAAGACTTATGTATGCCACCCTCAGTGATGGTCAACAGTAAAACTGTCCAGCTGGCACATTTATTGTATATAACAGTGTACATTTAGTAAACGTTCAAAACCTGAAATAGTACAGTGAAATATTGTCAGCAATAAATTTAGTTTCGCAAGAATTACATACGCTTTGAATACTTAGAAGTTCTGCCATAGGCCTGTTTAAAGCCAGAAACTTTTAAAAAAGAGAACTTTAAAAAACAGATTTTATTGTTGCTGCACTTCATCTGATACATCCTCTCCATTACAAAAATGAAAAGCTTATAGTGTAAAGAATCACTTTTAACTTAACCATGATTTGGTTCATGACTGAGTAAAGATCTGACCTAAGATTCTGGCAGTTGTTTTACACTGAAGTAATGTTTCACATAGCACCCTCCTGTTCCAAATCTGCTGCTGGTTTATTATGGAACTAATATAGAAACATAGTTTCTGATTTTTTTACCTCTTTAAGGTCTTTGAACCAAGACACTTAACCACCTGAAACACCAATGAAAGAGGAATCAAGTTTGTAGCTTCACAATTCTGATAAACATCCTATGCGACTTTACTAGAAAACTGCATCAGTTTTCACGGTAACAAATATGGCCTTCAGCTGATGAAAATCAGTGTAGCCAAACAGAAGTCAACACAGGTTAGCTAATTCACGCCAGCTGAGAACCTGATCTGCTTGGAATATCTTTTATTATGACAGAACTTAAATTTACAATAGTACAGACTTACTAGCCAAGGAACAAACCGCATTTTCTAAACATAATCTAATGATGAGCGGTATCAGCTGAACCATACTAGAGCTCAGATCTGCAGCTACTGTAAATTGTTCTAGCACCAATGGCTTTCAGCTTGTTAGGCCAATCATGCAGTGCTGACGAGCTGGCCGTACAAGTTGGCATCACAACCAGACGCCAAAAAATCTCCAATTCTTTTACCAAAGTCAGTCATGTCTCTAAAGAACAAAGCCTTAGGACCATCTGTTTTTCATTTAGGCTGACAACCTGAAGAAGTCCTTAATAGAGAGAGATTAATCATAATTACAGTAATATTAGTCAGCCCTGCCCGGTCCCCTGTTTGTTGAAAAGAAATTTCTGCTATCTCAACAGATAGCACTAGCAAAAATAATTAAAAACAACAACAAATAACCCCTCCAAAAGAATAAAAGAAACACAATGCCCATTCAGTAATTAAATTCTGTGCAGACACAACTCTGCTGTCACATCTCATTTTCTATTAAAAACAAAACAAAAGATAAAAGGAGCTACTTTTCCCTATGTAATAAAACTTCATGACTGTAGGTCTTTGCCTTCCATCTCTTTTTTCAAAACTTCAGGGTGTGTGCTTTTTATTTTCCATCTTCTGATATGATGTACACCCAGCAGTTCATCACTGACAAGGTAGTTTATTGTATTAATTTCTTCTATTATGTTTTTTACTGAACACTGGTGATTCGTTTTCTGTGTATCCCTATCTGCAACCACCCTTCCCGGCAAGGATCTACACTTGTTACGTAATCATTTGTCTTCCAAACCCACTCCATATTCCCATCACTTCATCTCTGACCTTTTCACCTACCTTCACCCAACCAGATGGAAAAAAGTCTTTAGTGATCAATATTCTGGTGCATCGGTAAGATCTTGTTAAGTGTTATTAGACCTGGCAAACACACATTTACACTGAGTGCTACATCTCTTCCTCTCTCTATATAGCCTGGATTAAGCTTAGAGAAAAGTTTTAATGCCTTTCATAAAAAGACATATTTTTCAATATAAAAAGCTTAAATTCATAGATTATAAATAATATAATTTCAAAACATTTAAGAATTTTAGGACTTCATTTGCATTTCAGGGGAACTGCAAGCTTAATGTCCTTGATGCCTTCTCAGTCCCAAACCTCTGATAAAGAAGTATTTGTAGGATATACAATAGGTAGAAATACACAGAACACGCCCTGTGTCCTGTACACCGATTACAGTAAGTGGAAGACTTCAGAACTAAGCAACTTTACCAGACAAGATATAATACTGCTTTAGCATTGCCCTGATAAAGTCACCATCATTTTTCATGTATACAACTACATGTATTTTGACATTGTCAGTTAAAAACATTACTGAAAACAGTATGAGCAAGGGTTTTTTCCCCAGTACATATGACATTAACAAGTTGTGCCACGTTTTTCAGACCTGATTTTAAAAGCATGTTTTTGCATTTAAGATATTTGCCACAGATTTTAGATATATAAAAAATTGTTTGTTCATGTGTTAAGTTACAAAATTGTAGTGCTCAATATAATAAACATCAAAATCTAAGATCTTTTAAAAAAATGCTTGTTTATAATACATTGCTTTGTTTTTAAAAGGCAGCAGTCAGTACCAGTCTGGCTTATTTTGCAACAATATCGTAGTGTAAAAATGTTGCTAAACAATTCTGGTACTTTCAGATTGGAAGTATTTATTTTCCAAAAACTATACAGTAATATACTGAAAAAAGAAACAGCAATAGTACTCTTTGTGCCTTTACAAATATGTAATGAGAATTATTATGGCTGATACGGATCAGATTTAATCTGTATTCCATACAGCACAGTTAGTTACTAAGAATGAAAAAAAGATTTTTAAAGCTTAAGTATGTTGATAAAAAAAGCTTCGGATACTATTGTCATAAACATAGTAATAGAACTGCTCTCACGGTCTGATGCTGTGCATGTTTTTTGAACCAAGTGACCTAGTAGTTAGCTTTTGTGATTCATGAAGGGGTTGTGATGTTAATCAATACCTAGGAGATCAGTCAGGGACATGCACAAACACCACCCACTTTCTGTCCTTAAAGTGAAACATTTCTGCCTGGTCTGAAAAGTTAAAGAAGTATACAGATGTGTAAAGTAGTGTGCTTTTTTTTTAAAAAGGAAGAAATAGATATGCATATATGTATTTTTATATATATATATATATATGTATTTTATATTTAAATTAGTGTCAATCAAATCCAGGCAGAGATTAAACTGACCATAAAGATGACGTAACAAAAGACATTAAGGCAGTAAGTTGTATCTCTTGAGGATTTTCAGATATTCTACCTATATCTCAAGAGGAAAAAGAAATGTTGAATTGCATCGTAGGCCCAATCAGCATTGAATGATTACAGCCAGGTAAGGAAGGGCTCGTTTTTGTTGAGTACTGACTCCACATCATTGAGAATAGGGATCAAGTCTTCTGACTCTAGAGTCCCAAGATCAACATTTGTTCCTGGAAGACAGTCGAGGAAATCAGGGAAACGTGTTTGTTGTGGATTTATGTTCATTGTTGTCTGTGCTATAGTTTCTCCTAGGAAAAGTAAAGAAGAACTTTTGAAATACCGAACTTTTCTTGTGGGTAATTTAAAACAACACAATTGACTCCCCCTTTCCCATAAGCACTTGTGAGCATTCCTATCCTCTACAAACGTTACCTCAAAACCATACTTGCTTGCGGAATGCATATTCTTGTAAGAGTTAATTTCATATCCTTGCTTTGCTCTCAAAAGCACAAAAGGCCCTTTCCAGCACTGTTCAAAGTAATCAGCCTCTGACCTTCCACTTGGGAAGCATGATTGTTCAAAGTTCACTAGTCTGCACAGGGAGCAATGCAACTGAGTCTTACGTAAACCCTCTATCCTGCTCTCCGCACAAGGGTGAATGCTGTCCATGGGGCATAATTGAAAAAAGTGTTTTACAGCAATTTAGCTCTGCAATATTATATTACTTTTTTCATAAATTAATAATAACAAGCATGAAAACCTTTAATAGAGAAACCTTTCACTCTTTGCATCATCTAGAACTTCTCATGACTCCAAAAGGAAGTTTAGGTGAGAAAGTGCTGAGAGTTTCACTATCTGGAAAAAAACTTGATTTTCTAGTGATTTATTTCAGTATTTTAAACACCATGAGGACACTGATATAAAAAAAAAAACATACCAAAACCTGAATTAGCTAAATACATGCTGTTTGAAGGCAAATCCAACTTTGCCATTGTAAGAGACTAATTCATGAGACTGATTTCCCAGAGTTAGAAAACGCAGTGATTTGTACCAAGAATGTAACCCAAGACCAGATTTTTACTCCTCCTACCTTGGACTACGGTATGAAAACACAAAGTAAGGCTCACATTTTCCAACTTTTACTTATTTTTTTTAGTATCAGTCTAAGGTAAAAGGGTAGAATCTGGACCTAAGGTAAAGCTGAGAACCTTCTAGGTTCTAAGTACTTTTTAGGTGTTCCCCCCCCCCCCAATTTTA